AAGTACACCAATAACAAAGCTTAATGAATTTTTACAAGTGGGTTCAAAAATAAAATGCTTTCAACTCCCAGAGAGCCCCCCTCCTGCCAAAAAGAAAGAATTTAATTATGAAAGAAAACCCCAGTGCAGTGGCTGCCAGACTTCTCCCCGGCTTATGAGAATTCACATTCATTGTGCAGCAGGTAAAGGCTCGGGATTCAAAGACAGGGCTGTCCGACCTCGGAGACTGGAAGACAGTATCGGATAGAACTCTACAAATCAAGGCTTTCTCCCGCCTCTGTGTATTCACTCACAAACTCCTGGGCCAGGGGTCCCTGTTTACATTTGTGGAATAAACTGTCACTTCCTCACCCGGCCCTACAAAGCCCTAATGACCTGATCTCCTCTGGTAAGTCCTCAACCCGTTCCCCCCTCCCCATCCATACCCCTTCCCCACCGCTGGACTCAACCCCCCCCCCCCCCACTCACTCCTGCCCCAGGGCCCTTGCACCTGCTGTGTCTGCGGCCGCCTGAAGGCCCCTCCCCTATATCTCCCCTTGATCGGCACCTTCTTCTCCTTCAGTCCTCAGAGATGCCCTCCCTGACCACGCTTTCTAAAGAACACCCTGGGCAGACACTGCCCTGTCTGCTTGCTATGCTCAGTTACCTTGCAGCCCGGGAGAAAAGAGAGAGACGTTAACAGAAACATTAAAGAATGTGACAAGTTTTTCTGTCGGGAAGTCTATGGGGCTGGAGAGCTTTGCTGAAGGTCATGCAAGGCTGGGGGCCCTGCTGCGGGCCGTGGAGCTGCACCCCAGTGGGACAGTTGGTGGGTAACCCGGGACTGTGGAGCCCCCTAGGGTTCAGGCCGCAGCTCTGCCTCTCGCCCTGAGCAGCCCGGTCAAGACAAGCAGCCAGTCCGGGCCCCGGTTCCCTTTTCTACAGGACAGGGCGCTCACTGGTGGTGCCTACCTCATAGAGGCTGGGTGAGAATTCAGTGAGTTAGTTCATACGCCGAAGTGCTTAGAGGAATGTCTGGCACATGCCAACACAAAAGGATGTCTTTTATTATGATTTACTTTGATGGATTTGATTCCCAGGTAAGTGGTCTTCGCTGCGGAAGGCTGAGTTCTTCAGCGGTAAGTTTTGCTTTCGTTCTGCATTCCGTCATCTGGTTCCTCCCAGTTTCTAGGTTTCTGTTGGTTCTTAGATGACCCAGCATTTATGGCAGGCCCTGGGTACCCTGAAAGGAAATGGTTGTGGGAAAGGAAGTTGAGCTTCAGGGGTGTTGGTTGTTATTCTTAAGAAATAAGCAACGCTCGCTGGTGGAGGTAGTTCGAGTGCTGCCTCACGGTCACCCGTGGATTTTGAAAATTTCAGATGCTGACATCACCTCTGATGCACTGGATCCTAAGTTGCAGAGAACAGGCTGTTTTTCCTAAACTCCACGCTTGGTACCGATATTCACCGAAGAGGAGGAACACTGGTTTCTTATACAGGATGGGACAAAGCAGGTTTTCAGTTGTTTGTATGAAAAATAATACAATAATTAATAAATAATAATAACAAGACAAGAATAAACTCCATGTTCCGTGTACTCACACCTGTAAGCCTACTTTTGCCCAATGCTGTGTTCTCTTTGGTTAGACTTGGACTCATATTTTAGCGTATTAGGGAAATCATTTATTCATTTAACACTGTATATATATTTTTTACTAACCAGTTTGACATGCCAGGTACTGTTTTCTAGTAGGAGAGATGGACAATAAACAAACTAATGAGAAAAATAAAATAGCAATAAGATTTGTGGTAAAACAATAGTTTATGTGAGTGACTGGGTGTTCGTTAGAGAGTGTGATCAGGGGGAGCATCTCTGAGGACTGGGCTGGAGCTTGAAGGAGAAGAAGGTGCCGATCATGGGGAGATATGGGGGAGGGGCCTTCAGGCGGCCGCGGACACAGCAGGTGCAAGGGCCCTGGGGCAGGAGTGAGTGTAGGGGGGTTGAGTCCAGCGGTGGGGAAGGGGTATGGATGGGGAGGGGGGAACGGGTTGAGGACTTACCAGAGGAGATCAGGTCATTAGGGCTTTGTAGGGCCGGGTGAGGAAGTGACAGTTTATTCAAAGCCAATGAAGAATTTTGAGGAGATGATATGACCTGCTTTATGGTTTTAAAACAATTTTAAATAGGCTGCTGTGTGGAGACTGGATTTTAGTGGAGGTGAGCATGGGTAAATGTTTTCAGCCGAGGAGGTTTGAGCACGTAGGAGCCCCTCCCTACTTGACAGAAAAACACCATAATTAAGCTCAGAGGTTCAATTTGAATAAGGACAATAGGCAAAGATTTCCAGAGACCCAAGGAATCAGCCACTGCCGTTACCCTGCCTTGGGGAAAAACGGCAAAAAGTGAATGTAACCTAACAAATGCATTAAAATCATGATGTGCTTTCATTTTCCAAAATGACGCATTTTCAAACCTGGCCGTCCTGCTGCTTAAAACATCGTGTGCAAAGTGGCCAGGGAGGACGTGGCGCCAGCCCACCATGCAGTCCCCCCCAGAGATGGGTGAGTTCCCAGGGCTGCCCTCAGCCTTTGGGACAGGGTACGAGCAGGTCAGATGAGGGACTCTGCTCCTTGGTTTTTCTGACGTCTCTGTGGAACCTCCGTTAGGGACAGCGGGACCCGTGAGCCATAGAGATACGCACTGAAGTCTCCCTCCCCGGCAGCCTGTGTCTCAGATGTCACCGGGTCATGGCTCAGCTACCCAGACTGCTTCCGCGAGAGGTGCCAGGGCATTGGGGTCACGCTGGGGAGAGTGGGTTGGGCAGCTTGAGTTTCAATCTCTGCTTCTCTGCTTGGAGCTGAGTTTTCATAGACAAGGGCCTTGACCTCTCTGAGCTACAGATGTCTTTAAGATAAGGATGATGTTAGTATCTGCCTCGCAGGGTTCCTGCAAGGCTCAAAGAAGCAAGTGCCTGTTAGTACTTAGCACAGCGCCTGGCCTGGGGCAGCACTCCACGCAGAGGAGCACTTTGGGCTTGGCGCTATGCTTGTCTGAAAGTCCTCTGTGCCCTCTCCATTTCAGTGGTGGTCCCCAGATAGCAGCCACATCCCCTGGGAGATTGTCATAGTCGAAAATGCAGAATCTTCGCCTCCCCTCCAGACCTGCTGAATCCCGTTCTGCCCTTGAACAAGATCCCCGGTGATTCTTGTGGGTGCTTTGCGTTTGGGAGTGTCCTCTAAGCCACAGGGTGTAGAGGAAGGAGAGTGGGATGAGTTTTCACTATGGGAACCTGCAGGCAGCATCACGTGGGTGCAAAAAGGCAGCAGCCACGGGACACAGAGTGTACGGCGACCCTGGCTAGGTGGGCATTCGTGGACAGCTGCCTCAGCCCCCCGGGCCTAAGTTTCTTCATCTGCAACATGACTCACCTGTTTCAGAGGTTCATTGAGAGAATAAATGAAATAATGTGAAAGCTGATATCGAAGGGTGAAATGTAAGTTATTTTTGTCTTGTTTACATAGAAGAAGGACATCATAATTCTGATAGCTCTTAGCACAATTTTCAAAGAATCTGATTCTCCATTTCCCACATTTGCTCTCTGAGTGGCAATGGACAAGACCTGTTTTTCGGTGTCTTGATTAAAATGATGGAGAGACAGTGGCCCAGGAACGACGGGCTGATATTTTCGGAAGCTCAGTGGGGAGTTTCGTGGTTTGGCTAAAAGGCACTGCCCTAGAAAAGACGGGCACGGTGGCAATGGGGATATTTATGCCACTTACCAATTAGTCGGAGTTGCCGTGTAACATAACGATTGTGCAGAAGTCACCAGGAAGCCTCTAGGTGCTGTATTTTAATGTCACACATTTAGCAGCCACAAAAGCCTTTTTATTGATTTCCAAACATCTCGAAGCAAGAAACACATGATATTGTTTACATTAGCAGGGTGGCAAGTACAATAAAGCCCCCAATATATTCCAGCACAAGACACACACTCAATTGTACACCAGAGTCACAGCACACTAGAGGCATCCACGGCGAGGGGGAGGCGGGGACAGCGGAAAGCGCGGCATGAGGTTTTCCAGGGCAGGAGAGGTCTGATGGCCACACGCAGCGTGCAGGGCTCGGCGGCCCTGGGCTGCCGGTCTGGCCCTGTGCTCACAGGTATGAACTGCTTTACTTGATAAGGTGTAGGCATCGATGACAGGAACGCCCCAACTTTAACACCGTGTTGAGCAAAAGGGGCAGTAAACTCTCAGATTTTCTCTCCTAGATAACGTCTCAGGACATCGTGGGAGAGAGAGGCAGCTGTAATGAGCACAAACAGTGCTTCTAAGAAAGTCACGTGCATTCCCACGATTTCTCAAGCAACCTGCCCCTACAGTGGAGCAACCTCTTGAGGCACATCCCCTCCCACCCGCGATGCCGTTTTTTCAGGGGGAGGCTGGCGAGGGACGGAGGGTAAAAAGAGTGGCCCGCAGCACAGCGTAGGGTCTTCAACAAAGAGTTCATTGTCTGGGGGACACTGCTTTACTATAACTAGGAAAACAGAACAGAAACTCAAGGCTCTCATGAAATCAGGGCAAAGCCATCTGAGCGGCTGGCAGCCAGAGGTCGAGGGCTGTAAAAGCTTTGCTTGGGAGAGCTTTGAATCACCCTCCTGTGAGTGAGATTCCTGGCGTCCGGTCAGAGCCGAAGCATGAAGACGCGGTAGGAAGCAGACCTCGCAAACGCTGGGTCTGCGGGAATGGGTATAGGCTGCGCCCGCAGCGGCCTCCCCTGCCTCCTCCCCGGGGGCTGCTGGGGAAATCGGAGTCCGGGACTTACCCACCTTGGGATCCTTCCAGACGGCCTGTTGCACACCATTTCCCTGTCAAAGGCTTTGCAAGCTCAAAACCAAAAGGCTGGCCACACATTCAGACGCCCTGTCTCCCCCTCCCTTCTTCTTTCCGAACACCTTTGCTGGAGGGACGTCCCACGCGCCGGCCGGATGCCGGCGATCGCGCCCCGCCCTCACCCCGTCCTACCCAAGGTTCATGGCCCCGCAGCAGCACAGGATCTCCTTGAAGGTGTTCCTCAGCTCCGGGCTGCGGAAGGCGTAGACGAGGGGGTCGAGGACCGAGCTGCACATGACGAGCACCAGGTAGGTGTTGAAGTGGGCCGTGTAGCAGGCGCAGTAGGGGTTGGTGGGGCAGGCGATGATGAGCACCAGGTGCACGAAGAAGGGCGCCCAGCAGACGACGAAGACACCCAGCAGGAGGGTGACGGTGACGGCCCCCTTCAGGCAGGAGCGCGGCCGCGGGGCCGCCCCGGCGGCTGGGGGCAGGGCCGCGATGCGCCGCACGTGCAGCCGGGCGAACAGGAGCATGTGCACGTAGAGGGCGGCCATGAGCAGCAGCATGGCGAAGAAGAGCGTGATGAGGCACACGATGACCATCTTGCTCTCGGAGTAGACGATGAACAGCACGCCGCAGACGCCGCAGCCCGCCCAGACGGCCACGATCAGGGCGCGGGCCCTCCTCACCGTCATGATGCTGTGGTAGCGCAGCGCGTAGAAGATGGTGACGTATCGGTCCACGGCGATGGCCAGCAGGTTGCAGATGGACGCCACCAGCGAGATGCAGATCATGGAGTCGAAGACGTTGTCCATGTGCTGCAGGAACTGGTCCTCAAAGGCCAGGGCATCGCTGTTGACCACGGCGATCATGACGGTCTCCAGGGCGTTGGACACGCTCACCAGCATGTCAGCTGCGGCCAGGCTGCACAGGAAGAGGTACATGGGCGAGTGCAGGTTGCTGTTGCGGGCCACGGCCAGGATGACCAGGACGTTCTCCAGCAGGCTGACGATGCCCAGCACCAGGAAGACCTCGGGCTGCACGGAGACCTGCTCGCAGAAGCCCGCGCCGCTGTGGTTGCCTGGGGCGGGGGGCGCCAGGTGCTCCGAGCTGTTCGGCAGCGTGGGCTGGACAGAGGGTGGGCAACAGGAGGCGTTCATGGCCGGCAGGCGGGCTGAGCTGGGCGGGGGCGCCCGCAGGTCCACAGGAGGCTGCTGCTGCGGCTGCTCCCAGGGAAGGAGAGGGTTCCCTCTTGCTGTGGATGCTTGCCGCTTGTCTGGTGCAGACTTGGGTTTGTTCTCCCAGAATGAAAGATGGAGAGAGAGAAAGAGGGAGGAGGGAGGGAGGGAGAGAGAGAGAGAGGCAGTCAGCTGGTAGACACACAGAGGACTTTGCCCTGCTCCTCCACGGTGAGCAGCTTTATACTTACTCTTCCCTGCTGTCTTCCTCCTCTCTCCCCCTTACCTGTTGCCCCCTCTCCCTTCCCCACCTGGGAACAGAAAACCTGCCACTGGTTGCTACTGTTACGGCTCTTTTCACAGCAAGACAGGGGATGTAGTACCTCTTGGTAGAAGTGAGGGGGGACACTCAGTTTTCCTACATTGGCCGCAGGCGAATAACTCCTACTTTATCTTCAGCGTAGCGTGGCGGCTCCTGCGAGTGTGACATTGTGTACCAGCTCCCGGCTCAGGCGGCGGGATTGAAAAGCTGACTGGTGCCCCCTGCTGGCCAGACTGCGCCGCTGTTTGCCCGCTTTTCTGAGCAGTTGCTCCAGGAAAAGGGCGGGCAGCCGTTCATCCATTTACTCCTTCATTCGTTCCTTTTCAAGAAAACATTTACCGAGCACCTACCATGTGTCAGGACTCTTCTGTGCGCTTTATGCTGTGGTGAGCTCAAGGGACATGCCGTCCCTGGGGGAGCCCAGGCTCAGAGTCTGGGTTGGGACACGAGAAATCAGGGAATCCTATTTCAGGGCCATGCATGCTCGGCTCGGACGGCCAGGGGGCTGGTGGTGTATAGCGGGGGCCCTCACTTGAATGGTCAAGGAGAGTTCCTGGGGGAAGGGGCACCTAACCTTTGCGTCCGAGAAAGAAGAGGCTGTCCAGTGGCAAGGCAGGGGCTGGAGTTGGAGGGAAGAGGCAGTGGTTCCTAATGCTGCCCGTGGGGGCCATCTGTAGGGTCGGGGGGTGGCAGGGATCCCCCGTGGCCTTGGGGTAAGAATCGCCCTGGGCAAGGACCTGGGCAAGCGTGTCTTCAGGTTCGCCAGGTAAACAGGGGCATAGCCAGGGTTTGGAGCTGTTGAAAAGGAAGCTTGGTGGTTTTGAAAGCAGTTTGCTCGGGCTAGAGCACGGAGCTGGGAAACACAATTTGAGAAATGAGATGGCAAAAAAATGTTTTTTTACGGTGAGAAGGGCCTTTTACACAAAGATGGTGTCAGCCGTATCTGGGAGTTTAGACTGTGTCCTGACAGTGGTGGCGGTGGGGACTGTGGGCGGCAGGGCATCAGGCAGGGTGGGGCTGAGGCGGGTCTGCATTTGGAAAGATTCCTGGTTGCAGGTGGAGACCGGATTGGAAGCAGAGGAGCAGGGAACCCGGAAGCCAGGGCTGCAAAGAGCCAGAGCAGGCGACGGTGCCCTGGAGCAAGGAGGTGGCTGTGGGGCCGGGGAGGGGCGGACAGAGAATGTGGGAGGCAGGAGCCCGGAGAGGCGAGGGTGCTGGGGTCTGGGCCTGCGGGAAAGGGACCAGCCAGGGAAACGTCCCACCTCCTTCTCAAGCAGCGGGGAGGATGGAGGTGACCTTTGAGCCAGACAATGTGACAGGCAGATCTTTGCCGTCGGCTGTAACACATGGTTCAGGTCGGGTTTGACGCCGCACACAGATCACACAGCCTCTGGAAGCGCTGAGTCCCCTTGCACCTGCGCACACAGCGACGCCTCCCGCTTCCAGACGGAGGAAGGAACCGCCTAATTATCGCCTAACGCTGTATGTCCGTGTGCATACGTACGTGTGAGAGAGAAGAAATACGCGCATGGAAATAGAAGAAAATTTACACTATTTGTAAAACTGCAGCGTGGAGAGATCTTAATAAGATGGGTAACCCCAAATTTAGTGCGAACAGAAGCACTAGAAGCCACGTCAAAATGGGAAGAAAGCGTTTGCCGTAGGCAAAAGTCACTGTCCCTTAGATAGAACCAATGCTTTCACATTAATAAGAGAAAGATGAATCACCTTTTAGAAAATTGGGCAAAAGATATGAATATAAATCCATTGAACAGGAAATGCAAATGACTAATAAACACAGGAAAAGGTGTTCAGCCTCCTGGGGAGCCAGGGAAGTGAAAACCTATCCGAGACGTCAGTACCGCTTTTCTGGTTTGGCCAACAAGAATTCAGATGTCAAGTTCAGGAGAGAACGTTGGGGGAAGAATACTCTCAGGCCTCCCTAGTGTTTGTGAATAGTTTCACTTTGGCCGTGTCTACTGACATTAAAACTGCGCCTGGGCGCGGAGCTTGGCCTACAAACCAAAGAGCGTGACAAATTCCATGTCTGCTCATTATCAACAGAGCAACGGAACTTCTGACACTAAACCAACTGCTTCCAGGATGGAGAAAAAACACAGTTTTAATCCTTTTGAGGCTTCTCCTCCCCCCTCACTTTCAGGGTTACCTCCAGAGGTGTATTTATGGGATCTTGGTCTGCGGTTTCGGAGCACAAGTTCTACCTGGACCACCAAGCCGAGTGGGTGTCTTCCTGGCTCTGTGGTTGGCATGGGCTGAGCTGGGACATCTTTCTCTGCTCTCAGCCTCTGGTTCTGTGTGTCCTGTGCAGAGGGCAGGTGGGGCCTGGCACTTCACACCTGTGTCCTCAGAGAACCCTCCTTGCTAACAAGTGTTGCTTTGCTCTTCCCTAAACACTACCCCCGCTTACCTGGGGGAGCAGCCCAGGTGCAGGACGACTTTTTAATCGAATCTTCTATAAATGAATTGGCTTTATTAATAACAATCACAAGACATGATGGTCTCGTCAGTGTCGACCATATGTTGTTGGCACACGTGGGGTGTGTGTCCGGTTTGCATCTCTTGTAATAAACGGTGACAAGGAGATTCTTAACCTAAGTGATAACCCACCTGGCTGTTCTCTCTTCCTCCAAAGCTCTTCCCTGGCAAACTTCGCTCATCTTTCAAGACCCAGTTCAAATGTGAACCATTTTTTACAGCTTTCCTCCAATTTCATGCAGCAGTTTATTCCTCCTCCTTCACCCACCCCTGCCCGCCCCGACAGGGTGGGTTCAGCCCTCCTCCCTCACTCTCATGCCTTGCAGAGCGCCACATCCCTAGGGGTCACGTCCCAGGCCAACCAAGGGGGCAGCATCGTCCCTTACAATCAGATTTTATCACTCACCCTAATTGTTTCTCAGGAGGCACTCACTGCCCCTGATGCCCGCGTCCTGCACCCTCCCCCGGCCCCCTCTGACCGCAGCTGCCTCTTGCTGGACGGTCCCCTGTTGGCCCAGTTTCCCCTCGCTCTGCCAGGCCCCAAGTCTGGGGCTCCACCCACATCCTGCCCCAGGATCTTCCCTGATGTAGCGGTGGGTGGTGGCCCTGCTCGCCTGGCCAAGTTCAGCTTGGAAGAGCCGGGAGAGAAAACCGCCTGTGGCAACTCTCCGCTAGTGAAAGCTGGAGCAGTGGGTGCACTCTTCAACCTCCTGTCCTTCAGGCGGGCAGCCGAGACACCTCGTGCGCTGCCCAGATGTCCGCGCGAAATGGAGCCTCGTCATGGACGGCAGCACCTTGATAAAATGTCGCTGGAGCCTCCCTCGTGATTTTTATTCTGTCGGTGGCTCTCACCACTCATCCAAGAAAAAGTCTGTTTTCCTTTGCTTTCTTTTTCTCTTCTGGGAGACAGAGATTTTAATGAAAGTGTATTTGAAAACTTTATTCCTTTATCTCATTGGGAAGAGGTCACCTTGAAATTTTTGAAAGAGGGGAGGGTGCCGCAGTCTCGGGGGCTGGCCCAGCAGATTCTGTCCATCCTGAGTGAACCGTAGGAAAGTAAGGGAACTGGAAGCGAGAGGTCCAGGCACTTATTGCCTGAGAGCAGCTTAACCGGAAGTCAGGGCCACAGCGAATATGACGGAGGGCGTATGGTGTGCGGGGCTCTACGCCAAAGTCTTTAGAGGTGAGAATTAAAATGACTCGATGCACCAACCTTGTCATTAACATTACGGTTGCTCTTTACGGATGAGGACACAGAGAGATTAGGTAATTTCCTGAAAGTCGTGCAGATAGAAAATGGTGTTTGGCTGCCGAGCCGAAGTGCTCAACCCCAATGTTATAATGCTTCTGTAGGTTTTGAAAATAGCTATTTGGAACCCAGCTGTGGGACTGAGATTCGAGGAGAGGTCCAGTCCCTGGAATAAATGGTGAGGGCCAGACAGGACCCAGGCCTGTACCGAGCAGGGCTTGGGGGGCTCCCAGCAATGAGCATGTATACACTAGGATCAGAGCTATCCCACAATGACAGGGCTTGATGATGGAGAAAACTTATAAGACTATCCTTAAACCATTTAAAAAATCTGTAAGAAGTGCGTACTTGGCCTAATTTTTACACAGTGTGACCAGCCACTTTTCAACAGTATTCATTCTCTCCTTATAGTAATAAAAATCACAACGATAATTTGAATCAAGCACATAGCTGTCCATCAGGGCCTACACTTCCCAGCGTCCCTTGCGGCTAGGTGGCCATGCAACTGTGGTATGAACAGAAGCAGGAGCAGCGCTTTTCTGTTGTGCTGTTTAAAGTGACGAGCATAGCCCTGGCTGGGTGGCTCAGTTGGTTGGAGTGTCATCCTGTACACCAAAAGTTTGTGGGTTCGATACCCAGGTGAGGCAACTGATCAATGTTGCTTTCTCACATCAATGTTACTTTCTCTCCCACCCTTCCTCTCTCCCTAAAATCAATCCAATATATCCATGGGTGAGGATCTAAAAAAATAAAAAGGGGCAAGCATATTCTCCCTTGATACTGGCTGGCTGTTGATAACGATGGGATAGAAGAACAACCGCCCCCTTGTGACCCAGAAATGGAAACCGTACAGTATAGGCGGCCAAACTACCTCCTTTGCTTTGAACTGCTTCCTTCAGGGCTGTTCCATGAGAGGGAAATAAAATTCTACAGTCATGCACTGCAAAGAGACATTTTGACCA